TTTTGGTACAGTGCATTGTAATTGCCCTTTCTTGTCTTTCCCGTGCATAGCACGGGGCGTTCCACTAATAATAATAACAATAGTTATTCGCTAATATTACGAAAACTAAAGTTTTCCGTCAATTATGCATAAGGAAAAACTCGTTTAGAATCATGCTACTAATAACGTATTAGAAGGACATAAAAATCGTTCGAAGTTGGCTTCAAAAGTTAACAACAATTTTTGCTAATATCTCGAAAACTAAACATTTCCGCGAAATTTGTATATGAACAAAATTGTACAGAATCATGTCCGCGATAAGATATTGAAAGCGCACTAAAATCGAGAAAAGTTTATTTTAAAAGTTGCCGGTTTTTCTGCAATAACAACACTTTGCAATTAAAAAATGAAAAATTTTTTGATTATAGTACCAATGGGGAATCTGAACCCACCAGATGCAAAAGGCTTCGTTCCGTTCGGTCAACCCAGTTAGGCGGAATCGGCGAACATACATAGAAAAAAAAAAAAAAAAAAAAAAAAAAATAAAAAAAAAAAAAAAAAAAAAAAAAAAAAAAAAAAAAAAAAAAAAAAAAAAAAAAAAAAAAAAAAAAAAAAAAAAAAAAAATACTGATCGAATTGAGTAACCTCCTCCTTTTTCGAAGTCGGTTAAAAATGTATCTCTTCGAAAGCATGCACACACAATATTGAATAACATAATTTATGTGATATAATTAAATGTATCATTTTTTGGTAACTGTGTAATTGTTTTGCATCGATAGCTATTATACTTTTTACTGATATTAAGCTACATTTTGAAAGGACTAAATAAAAAGTTGAATTTTTTTAAAATGATTCTACATACAAATGTTACCTAATACTTGCATTCACAGCTATATATACTTACAGTGGAATTAAAATATTATTCTAATAACAACGAAACGCATTAATGAACAAGTATTTAATCAATAAGTACTTAATCATTAAGCAAGTACTTTATCAATTTTAGCAAAAATTTCAGACGAAAGATTTGGCGGGATATGTTTAAAACAGTATTTACATTCCGTCATTAGAGAAATATCTCTATTTCATAGACAATCTAATATTTATCATTTTTAGTGTTAGATAATTATGGACAATTTATGATGGATTTTAAATATTTATAAAATTTTTTACATCCTTTTAATCTTTGGCATAATTATTTGAAAAAATCTGTTCTTGCATTCACAACATTAACCAAAGAATGATTTCAAGAGAGTCTCGATATCTGATTAAACTTGCAAATATTGTTAAAAATCGATAAAGCTGCAAAATTTCCATTAACAATACCAATGGGATTATCGAATGCGTGCTTTATGTCCTCCGAATTATAGATTCAGTTCGTCGCAGAAAATAATGATTCAACATTAATAAAAATAATTACATCGATCGTGCGTATATTTCATGATGGTCTCTTGGGAACATCGTTGGGAATGGTATTTAACAAAAGCGACCCACATTGTTTAATGAGAACAGAATTGCAACGAAGTGTGCTATAAAATACCCTCGTTACAACATTTGTAAACATGATAGTGATAAAAATGAAATTATGAATCTCTTTTGTATTGTTTTACACACAAAGTAGCATCATTGGGCAAGATATTCGTTAAAAATCGATAAAATATAATTTCACAATTTGATTAGTCAAATTAGAACTTCATTTTTGGTTTCTTACCTTCGTATATTTTAACAAATATCATGTATCCGATTTTTGTACAAAAATCATTTATATGATGCTTTTACTTCTAAGTCATATTTCAACTTCAATTTACGGAAGAATACAATCAAGTAAATTAATTTATATTTGTGTCATCTGCTTCACCACGTATAAATGCGGACAGAATTTTGTGTAACATCGTTTAATTTGTGACGTGCACCACATGTATATTTTCAAAATGATTTATTTGAATTTCAGGAAGATATGATAAAAGCGTAATAAATGGAGATTATTTCATACATTGCTGCATAAAATGATAAATTCACTTCATTTTTAGCTAGCTGTTATGAATAATACCGTTACTTCTTCCTTTTACAGTATCATGGAGAAATGCGAGAAAAGTAATGCTATGAGAAAAGATTTCAACGATAAGAACCGGATTTTGCGATTTCACTTTGAAAACTTCATAACGAACGAAAGTATACATAAACATATTTTTTTTTAAGTTTTTGGAACGAAATTGCAAAATCGGGCGCTTTTGAAGTATCATTCTGAAGCATAAAGAATATCCTTGAAAATAAAGTATGAATATTGCTTCTTGGTTTCAGAACTCTGGAATTACTAGATCACATTTTTCCACATTTTTGGAAACCAAATATCGCCTGTCCGTGACCAATACACCATAAAATAAACAAAGATCGTCGGGTTTCGCAATTTTCCGCCAGTCACCAAATATAATACTCGGAATATTCGGTCTCTAAACTTGACCCTTAAATTCTAAATTTCATTTTTCAGTTAAACTACAGAAATAGTTCCTTTAATAAAATTTATACGTTGTAAAATAAGACCTCATAAAAACCCAATGCTGATTTCCATTTTTATGATCACAAAAACGTTTCTTGCCATTTGATATTTTTGATTCTTATGTATTAGTTTAATCTCATTTCGTGTTCGAATGTTTCGAAATTATACGAATCTTTTCTTCGATGTACTTCAACGTGATACCGTTTTCCGAGAAATCCATGTGCTACAGTCCATGGCGCATTAGCGTTTGTGGCCTATCTAATAGGGTATTGCCTGTTTTGTATGCAAGGTACAACAATGTTAATTCCACTGCTATATGCTATGCATGTACTGCGGTCAAAAGCCGTGTGGAAAGCTTCTAATTTCTTCGCGACGCAGAACGCCATATTCACTGGGAGAGGAATGAATTATACGTTTTGTACCCGTGATTTGCGTAAGTTTATATATTAGACATTTTTTCAAAAAGATGTTCGAGAGAGGAATATGAATTTGTTGATTATTTGATTTGAAAGGTAGAGCGTTTAGAAGACCAA